TTGTATTAACATTAAAAATGAGGACGAGTTATGTTTTAAATATTCCGTTCAATGTGGATTTTATGAGTTATTCAAAAAAGACCATCCCTGCGAGATGTATCATTATAAGAAATATGTAGATGACAAATTTATCAAATGGGATAATATTGACTTTCCAGTAGGTAATGATGAGATTGAACTATTTGAAGAACAGAACAAACACATATCGGTCAATGTTTATTACATCAACCCCGATACGAATAGTAAAACTATTTTATTATACAAAAGAAGCAACAACCCACAAGCACAACACAAAATCGATTTGATTAAATTGACTGATGATGTTAAATCCCATTACGCTTATATCAAAAATTATGATAAGTTAATGAGTAGTCAGACTAACAAGATGAAGGCGAAGAAGTATCACTGTAGAACCTGCTCACATGGTTTCAAGACCGAAGAACTTTTAAAGAAACACGAAGAACAAGGATGTCTAGCAGTTGAGGGTCAAAAAATAGAAATGCCAAAAGAAGGTGAAACAATAGAATTCAAAAACCATTTCAAGAAACTTAAAGCTCCATTCGTAATATATGCCGACTTTGAATGTTTAACTGTGCCAATTGATGTTAAAAGCAAATCGGCAAAAGCTAAAACTACATCATATCAAAATCATCGTCCGTGTGGTTTTATGATTAATGTAGTCAATGCTATAACCGGAAGTAGTGAGCCTTACTTATACAGAGGTCAGGATTGTATGGATAAATTTGTTGAGAAAATCAATAAAGTCAGAGAGGAAGTTTTGGAGAAAATGAAGGAGGACAAAGACCGTATTGAAACCGAGAAGGACTGGGAGGACTTCAATAATGCCACTAACTGCTTCATTTGTGGAAACAAATTTGAGGAAGGAGAAAAGAAGTGTTGGGACCATTGCCACTTTACGGGACAGTATAGAGGTTGCGCCCACGAGGACTGCAATCTACGATTTAGTATGAGATATTATAAAATCCCTGTGTTTCTTCATAACCTTAAAAACTATGATGCCCACTTAATCATCAACAAGGCTCACGAATTGAACAAGAATTCTAAAATAGAATGTATCGCTCAGAACAGCGAAAAGTTTATAACCTTTGGTTTTAAAAATCTTTGTTTCAAGGACAGTTTCAGTTTCTTATCGTCTTCGTTGGATAAGTTGGTCAGGTTGAGTAAATATGAGGATGATAAAAAGCGTGAGAATTGGAAGAACAATTTCAGATACAGCGTTAGAAACCCGTATGTTAAAACCGATGAAGATTTGAATTTATTAACTGATAAGGGTATTTATCCCTATGACTACTTTGATGATTTTGAAAGATTTAAGGAAAGGGCTTTACCACCGAAAGAAGCGTTTTACAGTAAATTAAGTGAGGAACATGTAAGTGATAAAGATTATGAAAGGGCACTGAAAGTATGGAAGCACTTCGGGATTAGAACACTCGGGCAGTATCACGACTTGTATTTAAGAACTGATGTTTTACTACTGACCGATGTATTTGAAAACTTTAGAGACTTGTGTATGGAATACTACGGTTTAGACCCCGCTCATTATTACACATTGCCAAATTTCGCATGGGACGCGATGCTTCTAAAAACTGGTGTTGAAATAGAACAATTGCATGACCAAGAAATGTTTGAGATGGTTGAAAAGGGAATGAGAGGAGGAATGTGTCAAGTCAGTCATAAATTAGCGGTGGCAAATAATAAGTATATGGGGGAAGCATATGATGAGAACAAGCCATCAAATTATATTAGCTACTTGGATGCTAATAACTTGTATGGTTTAGCAATGTCCCAGAAATTACCGCTAAAAAATATCAAGTGGGCAAAGAAAACGCCCAGTGTTGAAACATGGAATGAAAACGATGAGTTCGGTTATATTATGGAAGTTGATTTGGAATATCCCGAAACATTGCACGACTTCCACTCTGACTATCCACTAGCGCCTGAAATAATGAATGTAAATGTTAGTATGCTTTCTGATTATCAAAAGCAAGTCTACAAAATATATTATGATGGCAAAAATCCCAAGGATGAGAAAACAAGTAAGTTAATATTAAATCTAAAGGATAAAGAAAAATATGTGGTTCATATCAAGACTTTACAGTATTATTTGAAAATGGGAATGAAAATGACAAAAGTCCATAGGATAATAAAATTTCAACAGAGGGCATGGTTGAAACCGTGGATTGATTTTAACACAGGTAAAAGGAAAGAAGCCAAAAGCGATTTTGAGAAAGATTTATTCAAATTAATGAATAATTCTGTGTATGGAAAAACTATGGAAGACAAACGAAATCATATGGACTTTGAATTAGTTGATAATGAAGTTAGATACGAAAAATGTGTTAATAATCCAACATTCAAAAATAGATTTATTATTAATGAAAACCTTGTAGGAGTTGAAAAAACTAAAGCGAAGCTGAAACTGGACAAACCGATTTTCTTAGGAATGACAATCCTTGACATCAGTAAATTACATATGTATCAGTTCTACTATGATGTTCTTAAGAAGAAATACAATGAAAACATCAAACTGGTTTATACTGATACTGACAGTTATGTAATTCAAACATTCACTGAGGACATCTACAAGGACTTCAAAGAATTAAACCAATATATGGACTTTAGCGATTATCCACCTGAACACCCCTGCCATGACAAAACAAATAAGAAAAAACTCGGTTATTTCAAGGATGAGTGCAACGGTCAAACAATAACACAATTCATAGGGTTAAAGCCTAAATCGTATGCTTTTACAATACACGGTGAAGAAGAAGAACAAAAGAAATCAAAAGGTGTAGTGAAACACAAGGTGAAGAAAGAACTGACTTACCAAAACTACCACGAAGCATTATTTCAAAACAAAAAGCATGAAATAACATATAATTTTATTCGTAGTCGCAACCATCAATTATTTTCAATGTCTCAAGTCAAGCAATCACTCAGTAATTATGAAAATAAAAGGTTTTACATTGATGCTTTCAATTCACTGCCTTATGGACATTATAAACTGCGTTAAAGAAAAGATAACTAAGGTTATTAATGGATAGCAGTAAATATAAAAACGCAAAGATTTACAAAATAACAGATGTTGGATATAATAAGTGCTACATCGGAAGCACCTGTGAAAGCTTGAGCCAAAGAATGGCAAGACATAGACAAAATTATAACAAGGCAGAACAATGGAATAATAAAACAAACTGTCGTTTGTTGTTTGATGAATATGGAATGGACAACTGTAAGATTGAATTATTAGAAGACTACCCATGTGAAAACAGAGAACAGTTAATGAAAAGAGAAGGTTATTACATTCAAAATAATGATTGTGTGAATAGATGTGTGGCAGGTAGAACAATTAATGAGTGGAAGGAAGACAATAAGGAACACTATCAAAATATGAGGAAGGAATACGCAGAAAACAACAAAGAACATATATGTAATAAAAGTAGGGAGCACTACCACCAAAACAAAGAAACAATATTGGAAAAACGAAAAGAACCTATTGAATGTGAATGTGGTGGTGTTTTCAGGAAATGTGATATAAGAAGACACGAGAGAACTGAAAAACATCAACGATATGTATGTGAAAATATTAATATCTAAATAGTTCTAATAATATATGCACTTATTAGAACTATTTAGTGGTACTTCTTCAGTTGGTAAAGTAGCAAAGTCGCTCGGTTATAATGTTATATCATTGGATTTGAAAACGGTGGGTAAACTCCCCAATTAAGGGGGGCGAACTCCCCAATTAAGGGGGGCGAACTCCCCAATTAAGGGGGCGAACTCCCCAATTAAGGGGGGCGAACTCCCCAATTAAGGGGGGCGAACTCCCCAATTAAGGGGAGAATGGCTCAAGTAACAAGGTCTGGCTCACACAACACAGTCAGGCTCACACAACACAGTCAGGCTCACACAGCAAGGTTTGGCTCACACAGTAAGGTCTGGCTCGCACAGCAAGGTCTGGCTCACACAGACATTTAAATTAAACCTGAAACCCAGACCAGCTGACCAGCAACCCCCTAGTCAAAACTACTTAAAGAAAAAATAGCATAACATATTAAGAGAAAAATGAACTATGATGAAATCAACAGTTATATTAATAAGAAATGCTATGATTGTTGCCACTTCAAAAAAGAAAATATGGAATTATACAAATTGAATTTACCTAATGGAATAGTAAATAATATTACTGATTATGCTCTGAGTGAAGAAGATGTATGTAGAACTTGTAGAAGATGGAGACGATATCAAAATATGATAGAAAATTTTTGGAGATTAAAAAAATAGATGAAAGAAATGTTGAAGATGACATTTTGATATTTTTAACTGTGTATGAAATACCACCTCATAGTTATGTTAGAGCATTTCTCAAAATCAGTAAGAAAATATGACATGATTGATGATATATTATGGATGTTGGGTTATAGTCAAGAGAAAGGAGAAGATGTTAAAGAAAATATCAAATTATTTATTGAAAGTAAAAAGTTTAATGTTCAAAATACAGTGAGAGATATTAATATTATTTTTAAAATGGTGTATGAAAGAAGTAAGACAAATCAATTAAATTATTATCCTGTATTGGGATTATAATCATACTATAATAATAACATGTAAAATCTTATATGTTATAATTATACTGAACGTTTAACCTATAAATGAAAATTAATGAGAAACATACTAACAAAACAAATGCACCGCCAACACCCCAGAACTTGATAACTACTAAAAGGGCTACCTCTTTCAAATGAAAAAAATGTTTGCCCCCAGCCCAACAATGAACAAGGCGACAATTTACCCAAATGATTACCTTAACGAAAACGATAAATAAGCTCCCTAAAAACCCTCTTTTAAAAACGAATAAGGGGGAACATAGATTTGAGATGAACATAAAAACCAGAACAGGCAACCATCAACAGACTTCCCCCCAGGCCCCCTACTTTCTCCATTTTTTCCCCCACCCCCCACCTCCACAGCCAAGGCGCCGCCTCCCGCAGCAGGCGCTCCAAGGCCTTCGCCGCCTGTGAGTTCCGCGCCTCGTCGTTCAACACCGAAGCCTCCGTCGGGTGGGGTGGCGGTCGGTGTTCAGATCTGCTAAAAGTGACGAACTGTTGGAGGGTCAAAGGGAATCCCAACCACGCCCACCCAAAAACAACCAACAAGCTATGGGGATGGCTGGGAACCACCGAGAGTGGCTTTTTGGGCCCGGACTCTGAGACCCAACGGTCCAACTATCTTTTGAGGTGGGCTGCCAAGGGGAAGGGGAACTCTGTGGTTTGCCGGAGTTTAGCAGGGGTTGGTGGTATGTGCTTGGCTCAGAGAAAGTCTGCGACTTGAAATGCTGAACTATTTGGGTATGTGCTCTTTTGCCGCTGGAACCCTTTGGTTTGGAAAGGAAAGTCAAATTGTGAACTCGGAACGACATTTTTTTGCGTGTCTCCTATGTTTCTGCCCAGAAGGCCAAGGGAAATGACCCTTCGAAACACTCAACACAGACACATGAACTTCAACTCAGAAGTTGCTACCCCAAGCAGCATTTGACCATCCATTGAAGTGGGTTCAATCGGGACCTCCATTGCGAGGTGTACCTCAAAAACGACCTTGAGGGCCCGAGATGCTTCGGGTAATGCAACAAGTTCACAGTCGCAGGCCATCCGTCCTTGGATCCAAACCAAACCATCGGCATCCTTCCGCCTCCAAATGCTACCGGCCGTGGTCCCATGGCCCTGAAGCGGGGCCCTCCCGATTGCTCAAGTGCACGAGAAACAGCTCAAGAATATGTCCAGTGACTCCCGTTGAAACCACGCGAAGAAGAAAAACACCTTACAGTATGTTTGAGCAAATGGAAGAACACGGGAATTTGGCGGGTGCAAATGAAACAAAACCATAGTCTTCGGGCAGTGTGGTCTCTGCCCGCGAGTTGCCTCTTAGAGGGTCGCATTTGCTTTGAACCAGAGAACCTAAAGGAAACCCTTCACCCATCTTTTACACCCTGTATTTGTTTTACCCTGCCAGCTTGGAACAACGTTGCAGCGGAAAGAAAAATATCAGCATGCCGAATCTCTGAAAGCCGCTGGCTTGAAGCCCAAAGCTTAGCTGGGACCTGACCAAAGGCTGATCGGTAGACCCCCAAAATTCGAACAGGAACTCTGTATATTGAACCTCTTGTACTTTGTTTAAAAACCCGATTAATACTTCGGGCCCTTTTACTAAAACAGTCTTGAAATGTACTTCGGGCACTTTTACAAAACAGTCTTGAATGAAGACACCTGGGCTACCCCAAGCATATTGAAGGGGTTAGGACCTGCATTGGAAGGTGTTGGACCACCAAAAGAGCATTTTTCAGGGTCCAAGATGCTTAGAGTACATGTTGACCCCATATTCATCAACCAACCAGTTTTTTTTTACTAGGGGTCCCGGTGTCCCTGGGTTTGGTGGGGAACTGGAGTTGATCTGTATATATGAGGGGTCAACCTTAAAAGGGACACACGCGCACTCCGACTCCCACGCCCCCCGCTTCCTCGAACCCCCGTTTTGGAGCCTCAGAGCCGGAACGCCAGAAGTCTTCCGCGCCGCGGTGGGCCTTACCCAGAAAAAAAAAAGAGCGTCCACATGGAATTGGGGCCCCAGCAAAACACCTAATGTGGTTCGCCTTAGTGGAGAACTAAGGGGACCCCAAAACAGCAAGAGACGTCAAAACTATAGGGGTTGATTCCCCATTCTTTTCAGCCAGCGTTCTTTTCGAAAACCAGCCATTTCCCCAGGGTTTTCGGTGGTGTTCTAGAAAGAAGGTTCCCTGAAAAGAATGGAAACGGAATCTACCCCTAGAAAAAGGGGGAGCTAATTCTAGAAAAGAAACAAGAAAGAACTGCCAAAAAAGCCACCAGGTCCCGGTGCGGGTGCATGCCCTGGCCGTGCTAAGAGAACAAGGACTTGGTGTTTTGTTGCAATAGCTGGACGGCACCCTGATTGAAAAGGAATTCACAACCAAAAGACAGCGTGATGTTGGTGAAGGTCCCATTCTTGCAACCAGTTTGATGCTTGACCTTAGGGGTCTCCCATTTGAGTCATAAGAAAGGCTTGGTATTCAGATGGTCTACCCAGAACCATGAATCAAATTTGTTCAAAAGGCTTTGCCATCCGCATTTATGGCAAGGGGACTGTCCCCAACCTCACTTCCTGAGTGGATTGGCCAAAAAACAAGTCCACCTGGATTGCCAGTTGCTGCTTGTTTGTTTTTTCCCATGCACTTTAACCCAAAAAGCGATCGCAACAGGTCCAAGAACTCGATCGGGAGTCGGGAGTGAGTGCCCTCCCCCAATCGGTTTTGAGGACACAGCTCAAAACTGAACGCTTCATACCTGCGCCCTCAGATCCCCTGCGAGTTCTTTAACTTTTTAACAATTCGGAAACTACCACTGCGCCAAGTAAAAACAACTACCTGGATCGCCAAGTTGCCGCTTTTTTCAGGCACGGCAACGCTGGTCTAAGGGGTTTTGCGTGCAAGGAACAAAAACGATTGCAACTTGGCCAAAGTTGAACCGGATGACCCTCCAATGCAGAACCCCGACCAATTCCTCCAGGACCCTCAAAAACAACCCATTCTGAGGACTTGCCCCAAATCAATCAAGATTCGGGTAACCGCATGGTGCCAAACTTTGAGCCAACTATCTAGGTAGAAACAACTAAGTTGAACCCAGAGGCCTCGACCCCTCGGATCCCCCGCTAAGAGTTTAACTGTTAGCGGGTTAAATGGAAAAGGGTGCGAATTTATATTGGGAATGTGTTTTTCTGATTTTTTTGTTTTTCGTTTTTTACACTAGCCCGTCAACATCCCCAGCATCGTTTTCAACATCCCCGGCATGTCCGACCAACATCCCTAGCATCACCAACAAATCGTTGTATCAATCGAACAAGTAGCTGGCGGGTTGACGGGGTCAAAAAAGTCCCTGAAAAGGGCATTTCAATCCCTGAAAAAAAAACTACAAAGTAGCGGGGGGGTTGGGGGGCGGCACCCCCCCATGATGTTCGCAGAAGTGATGATTCGAATAGCTCTGCAAAAAGTCTAAAAAGTGGCGGGGGGGTTGCGGCAGCCCATGATGTTCGAAGAAGTGATGATTGAATCAGGGGTGCAATTAAATCTCTGTACCAAATCTAAAACGTAGCGGGGGGCTTGGGGGGGGGGCTGCCCCCCCGATGATGTTCGAAGAAGTGATGATTCAAGTAGGGGTGCAAGGATTCAAGAACGGGTGCGATAGAATGTAAAACGCAGCAGGAGGGCTGGCTGCCCCTATGATGTTCCAAGAAGTGCATACATACAGACATACATGGATTACACAGATTGCCTAAAATATCGTATTTTGCAGCATGTTATCGCGAAATTGGACGATCGAAAAAGTGATGATTCAAATAGGGGTGCAATTCAATCTCTGCAAGACATCTAAAAAGTAGCGGGGGGGTTGCGGGGGGGGGGGGGGGCTGCTGCCGCCCCCCCATGATGTTTGAAGAGGGTGCAATTACTCTGCAAACAATCTAAACAGTAGCGGGTGGGTTGGAGTGATGATTCAAATAGGGCGGAACTGGTGATGCTGATGATGCGGGAAGCCAAATCCAAAAACCAATGAAAGGGTGCAAAAGGGTGCAAAAGCCAAAAAGCCCAGAGAGGAACTGTGAAAGCAGAGGATGCGAAAAGCCAAAGCCGCCAAAAGCCGCATAAACGCAAAAGCCAAACCGCCACCTGCCGAAGAGGAACTGGGAATGCAGAGGATGCGAAAAGCCAAAGCAAAAAAAAACACATAAACCAACAAAAAGCCGAGAAGCCCAGAAGCCCAGAAGCCCAGAAGCCGTGAAGCCGAGAAGCCGAAAAGCCAACAAGCCAAGAAGCCAAGAAGCCAAAAAGCCAAGAAACCAAAAACGAAAAAAAAATCCCCCCCCCCCAAAAAAAAAACGAAAAAATCCTAAAATAAATACCCCTCCAATGGAAACTACCACTAAACACCAAAAAAAGACTAAAAGGCTAAGGAACCGGATGGCTGGGAGCCACCAAGATACCTGGCGCTTCCTGCCCCCCACTCCTCGACTCGACTCGACTCGACGTCGCGGCGCGTGCTTCGCCAGCGCCCGGGCGCCCACCGTCAGCTTGGAGCCCGGCAGCTGCAGCTCGCCTCAGGGTTTCGTTCGCGGGCGCCTCTCAGGTCCCAGGGTCATGAAAAGAAACTAGCCATGGGACCCATGGAGATGACAAGCCTAAGGTTTGGTGGTTATATGCTGCCGTTTAAGCCAAAAAAAAAAGGAAGAAAATTGCCCCTCTTGGTTCTAAAGGGAATTCTTTCACAACTGGACATGCTGGGGATGGCAACGGAACAATTCGATTCCCCAATGTCAACAAACCTTATCACCGTGGCTTCATTTCGTGGTGGGTGTCCACTAAAAGAACCCCACAGGTCCCGAAAGGGACATGAAAGCTTCAATCCAAAAGCTAACACTCCCGGCATGGGTGTGGAACCCCGGAACGTGCCCCTTGGGGCCTTGGGGAAACCATACCTTCGGCCAAGGATTCTCGGCCAGCAGGAAGGGCAACTACAGGGTGAATCAGAAAAATTGCCCAATTCCCTTCACAGAAGTAAAAGGAAGGCTTGGACACCTTTAGAAAATGGGGAACCGTAGAGGCCCACGAAGGGTAGAAGGGTGAAGGCTGAAGGAACATATGTTTCTATGAAAGCAATATTAATCTATGATGTTTTTCCATGGTCATATGTGCCTTGGAAAAACATGTGCCCATGAACATATGCCCCATGCCCCATATGCTGTTATGGACATAGAGCCATGCAACATCTCTATCCCTAGCTGTACCGGGGAGCTCCAAGCCCTGGTGCTACGCAAATGGCGCAGTTACTCTCCCTCCAGACATGGGCACTAGTGGACATTGTATCTACCTACACCCGAAAATGATGGGGTGAATTCCTTTGTTTTCTGGGTAGTTTGAGGGTCCAGGTTCTTGTAGGGAGCATCGGATCCGTCTTAACATAGCTTGAATCTACATGGCTGTACCCCCTTCCGCGGCTAGCCACTGAGTACCTTTCCCCAAGTAGCCATCTGACTGGTAACCATTCCTAGATACCCAAGTTGCTGCTTCTTTCAGTCACTGTTGATGCTCTTTGGAGTAAAGTGCATGGACAACAAAAAACAGCGACTGGCGATCCAGTTTGTTTCAAATCCCTTCGGATGCGCTTCACAAACAAAACAGAAGGAAGCCCGCGTAGAAGGGAAGCACCTGAATTGGGAGACCCTTTGTTTTGCCGTTATTCATTTGCAAAGATGTGCAGACCTCCAAACCGATCTCAGATCTGAACCTTTAGTGACCTTTAAATGACAATAACATTCGAGGAAACCCCAGAAACAGGAACTGGTCAAACAAAGCTGTTGAGTCCAGATCAAGAAACATGGTTGAACACATAAATCTAGTGAGTTATCTTCACAACCCTTGGTATGATAGCAAAAACTTTGTTTTGTGCGGCCCTACTAAGAATGAGCCGAACCAAAAAACTACATCGAACAACTTGCGCCCTTGAAGCCCGCCCCCAAACAATCCCCTAACCATCGCCGGACGCTCCCGATTGATTTAAACAACCAGGTTTTGAGATCTCAAGACCCCCAACAGCCGCGCATTGTCTACTATAAGGGTTGAGGGGTTGAGGGCTCTTCCATTCCAGGCTGAAGCCGATCGGAGCTCTTTCCATTCCCCCGAAAAGACTCGACCCCCGAAGGCGCAAGCCACCAAAACCCTCCCCCGCAAGGGCTTCCTGGAAGAAAGGGAAGGAACTGCCAAGCTCAAAGGAAACCAGCGTGACACCTACCACGAGAGGGGTAATATTACCACCCAAAAGTTGCAAATCCAGATTTTCGGTGTTCCTCTTGGTTTCCCCTTTAAACCAACCCCAAAAAGGGTACTAAACATCAAAAAAGCACAGTCCCCTATTTGAAGGTCCCCCCAAAGAGATCGGTGTATACTGTGATTTCTTGGAAAAAAGGTGCTTCATCTGTAGAAATCACGGGAATGTTAGCCAGCTTTTGGAGCACGCCTCTGGCGCGCCCACCTCGCACGCCGAAGTGCACGATGCAGCTCAGACTCAGTAGCACCATCACCCATAGCTATCGTGTCTCAAGGAGTTTGCCTTCTGTGCAAAACGCAAATGCTCGGCAGGCCCTGCCTCTGAGCCGCACAGAACAAACAGAAAACGTACTTTGCAAGATCACCCCCCCGCTTTGCAAGGGATGTCATCGCGAGCAACGACTTAGGATCTTGAACCTGTCAGCCATGCCCGGCTTGGTTGGGCCTCAAAAAGTCTACTTCCGCAATGACCAAGCCTGCCATCTGGAACTTAACCACCATTTTCTGCTGCAGGGGCCCATCTGGCTGCCTCGATGTATTCCACCTGCCATCAGGTACCACAACACCACAATCGCCCTTCTTGACACCTATCGAAAGCTCAGGCTTGTCACCTGCGCCGGCCTCTATCGTGAGAAAGGCTGAAAGCAGATGTCGCACTCATCCTTCAACTGGGTGACTGTTTGGCGCCAATGCCCTCAACTGTTTCAGGTGCTGCTGAAGGCGAGCCAAAACAACGCCACAAACTCCCGACTGAGAGCTCCGAAGCAGGCGCGCATCCTCATCAACATGCTGGGGCCGGCCACATCCTCCACTCGCAGGCTGGGCTTTGCGCCTTTGCAGTCCTTGAGGCAGGTCAGCTTGCGTTGTAGGGTGAGCGCTGTTCAGGAGGCCGATGTCCATATCAACGTGCTCCATGCCGTGGTTGTACACCTCGAAAATGGGACCTGCCATCCTCCACGCTCAAGGCGGGCAGCTGCTGCGCAATTTTCTCCGGCTTGCTGCGGCCCAGGTAGCTCCGATCTGTGGGCGCGAGGTCATAATCCTCGAGCTCTGCGCACCCTCGGCAGACTCCGTGAAAATGTCATACCGCTCGGGTTCCGCTAGGCCGGCTTCACCGTCACACGCTGCTGCCATTCCTGCAAGGGCCCGAAATGCGTTTGTCTTGGCCTTGGTGATAAACAGGCCGCCAGCGTGGCGAGTAAAGCCGCCAGCGCGCCGCTTCCAGTTTCGCAGGACAACCGCTGCGTGAACGGCTGTTCTTTCCAGCTTCTCCTGAAGCTTGCCTGCTGATCCGCATAGCGCCTTTTGCGAAGATGGCGCGGGCAACTTCCCAAGACAGCTGCTGCGCCGTCAGTGCCGCGCACCTCCGTCTGTACAACCATGTTGCTTGTCACCTCACCCTGCTCAATTGGTAGATCCTCAAGGCTCTTAACCTGTGGTTTCCTGGAAAAAGGTGTTTCATCTGTAGGTTTCACGGGGATGTTAGCCAGCTTTTGAGCACGCCTCTGGCGTGCCCGCCTCGCATGCCGATGTGCACGATGCAGCTCGGACTTTGTAGCACCATCACCCATAGCTATCATGTCTCAAGGACTTTGCCTACAGTGCAAAACGCAAATGCTCTGTAGGCTCTGCCTCTGAGCCGCAGAAAACGTACTTCGGCGCACCATGCAAGATCACGTATATAAAGGGAAACCAAACGGGCACCGAAGCACATTTGGCGGGCCCAAAAAAATATGGCACATACTCATACCCCCGTAAGCTCCAATTACCCAGCCTTTCCACAGTTGGAGTGTTCCAAGGTTGACTTCATACCAACTGAAAACTGTGGGCATTGTGTGCATGCGTACTTGGATCTTCAGCCTACTCAGCAAGCATAACCATGGCAAAAAGCCAACAAGCCACAGATGCCCCAGATACAACCTTGGTTATAACTGCTTCGCTTCAACATCCAACTAGGTCCTCCAGAAGAGAGGTTAGAATGAGGGTGCCCTTTTCCCTCTCTGCGGTCTATTTTAGTAGGGGAACCCTCCCCCAAAAAAGAAACGGTAACAGGGCACCACTTGAAAACCTGGTAGGGAAAAACAAACGGACCGAAAAGGACCGCATCCACTCTCCGAGGCGCGCTTCTCCCGCGTGAGTTGCCGCCTGGGCCGGTTGGTTGAAAAAACCGGTTGACTCCCTCCGAACAATCCCATAAACAAATTGGTGACTGCCCAAAATAACCATACCAAATGGCCGAAAAGGGTATACCGAGCCTTAAAAAAAAATCAAACCCAAGTGGTTGCCCCAAAACGCGTGGGTCGAACGCCGAACGCACGCGAAGCGCGCGAAGCGCGCGAAGCGCTGGCACTGCCAGGCGGCATCTCCTCCTCCACCCGCTCGCCGCTCTTCAGGCGGCCTCACTGAAAAGGAAAACGCCGTGGAAAGCGAAAGGCCTTTGGGAACCTGAAAACTCATTTTGCTGAAGTCCCCCCAAAAAAAGAAAACACCAGTTTCCAGTAGTGAACTCGATTTGGTTATTTTTGCTTAAGCCCCCCCCCAAAAAGAAAACAAAGAAAGAAGAAAACACATGTTTCCAGTAGTGATAGGTTAGGCTTTTGGAACCTGAAAACTCATTGCTTAAGCACCCCCCCCCCCCAAAAAAAAAAAACACATGTTTCGGGTAGTGATAGATTAGGCTTTTGGAACCTAAACTCTTATTAGGTTTTGGGGGTAAAGTGCATGGAAAAACTATCACAACAAACGATCCGGGCCCTGGTTTCTGGTAAGGACGCCATTTCGGGAAAACTGCGCCAGCGGGAGCAAAAATGGATAATCTTCCGTTCGCTCCCAGTTTTGCCCATGGGTAACTATTCAACCATGTGGATGAAACTTCATCTCTGTTTTCGCGGTGCTTCACGACCCATACTCATCCCATGCAAACTTGACAAGGACTTTTCCTTCAACCCCCGGCCTATGGATGCCCTTTTGGCGTCCCTTTTACAACCAGAAACAAGGGGGATACCCTCAACTAGTGCTCAGCAGGGAACGAGACATGGACATCCGATTTGGTTTCCTTTCGGAAATAGTCAGGTTAAGGTTCATTCCAGTTCTCATTCCCTGCCTATCGCACCAGCAAGTTGTTTCTCAACCACAAACCGCGGAAAAGGCGAACCATGGCTTAATTCTCAGCCACCTCCCAGAAACCTCCCCTGGGGTAGACTTAGGATACATGTTACATTTTACCTGTGACCCAAAGTGAAGCACACAATCAAATATACCTTCTACAACTGGTCCCCACTCTGTCCCAAAACCCACGTCCTTGGTTTGATCAACCCCCTCCCCAAAAACGACCCCCCCCCCCCCCCACCCGGACGAGCGACTCCTCAGCGCCTCCAACTCCGCCTCCACCGCCGCCAACTCGCGCCGCGCTTTGGGCGAACCTTCGGAGCTGCCTGGCCGAAGTGGAGGCGACAAAGGACCCAGTGGCATAGATCTACCCTGGACCAAATTACCAACTTAAAAATGGGATATAGCCCAAACATATGGTTGGTGCCAAACATGGGAGTTCACCCGCTATGTTCAGGCAAAATGGGGTTCAGGCAAAGTGGGAGTTCACTACTGGAAACATGTGTGCCTAGACAGCCAAGTCGCGATCGCTGTTTTCAGACACTGTTGCGATCGGTTTTTGGGGTGTTGAGTGCATGGAAAAAAGCGCTCGCAACTGGCGATCCAGGTACCAACTTAAAAATGCCCTGGATCGCCAGTTGCTGCTTTTTCAATGCACTCAACACCCCAAAAGCCGATCGCAAAAGTGACTGAAAAAAGCAGCAACTTGGCTATCTAGCGGGTTCTTGACCCAAAAATATAGTTCAAAGTGACGATTCAAAATGGATTCCCGGGCAAAATGGGAGTTCACCCTCTCAAATTTCAGGCCATATCCAATGGCTATCGTGAGGTTCCAGGCACTCAGTTGCCCAGCTGACATCATTTCAAATGGTGATCACCTTTTGGGGCCACTCAAGATGCGAACTCAACATGGGGCAACCAAAAGATCAAAAGGTCGGTTTGGAACTGACATAAAATGTTGTGGCTACAAAGAAACATAGAAAGGGACTGGACAAAAATCAACCACACTGGCCTACAAAGACACCTATGGTGGCGTTCCTGTTAGTTTCCATTCAAAAATTGGAAGCAGCACAGTCAACCGAAGGCAGTAATCCCTCCTTAAGAGACATACAAAAAGACTTTTATGTCCGGACTGTCCGTTTTCTCATCCCCTGGCAAAAGTTTATAACTTGTAGATTCAATTTGGAAACCCAACCACCTTTGAGCGACTGAAACAGACTGACCTGGATAGCCAAGTTGCGATCGTTTTTTGCAGTCACTGTTGCGATCGGCTTTGGGGGTAAAGTGGATGGAAAAAAGCGATCGCAACTGGCGATCCAGGGAACACCTACGTACTGAACGGCTGGCTGGGAACCGCCAAGACAGGGGGCACGGAGGGCCTTGAGCCCAAGGGTCCGAAATCTGATGGCAGGAAGCCACCCTCGAAATGGATCAAGCTCCAAATGCCCCAAAAAGCACCCGAGCCCCTGCTCCAAATACCCGAACATTGCTCAGGGCGTTGCACCAAAAAAAAAAAGTTTGCTATGCCAAATGCACCTCCGAATTGAGAGGGGTGGCATCAGACCCGTTCAATCAAGCAAAAAAGGAGCAAGAAGAGTTATCCCCGCCAGCGCTCCTCTCCATACGGCCTTCATCTGTACAAAGCTCGTTGAAGGACCGAACCAGCTCTTGCCTCCCGCAAGTCTGCTGATGGACGCCCTACGTCTTTTTGCTTTTGGAAAACCTGGCCTTCCATGGCAACTAGCTGCTGACATCATACCCTGACAAAAAGGTGGGTATCTGCAGGGGGGGATCCTCATGTCCGACGGTGTTCCTGAAAATCCCCCTAGGCACGACACTTGACGTCACAGGGACTGTCACTTGGAATGGAGACAGCAAGCCGTTCGCCTGTCAAGTGGGACCTCTGCAAACCGGTCAACCCCTTCATCTAGGTCCTCCAGTAGAGAGGTTCCAACAGGGGCACCAACTTGTTTTTTGCGGTAGTCTACTTTAGTAGGGGAACCCTCCCCCAAAAAGGGCAAAAAGGCACTACTGGGGGACCTAGTCATGTTTCTTTTCTTTGTGCTGTTTTTTTGCCCCAACCCATGGTCCCATGATAGAAAACCGGTGAGAAAGGGCAGTTAGGAGGCGTCCTTTGCAATGAAGGAGGCGAGGTGGCAGACTCAAAATCGAGCCTTTGGGAGCAAAGCAAATGTTTTATCCAAGCTTCGTCCATCAGAACCCTGCGGATGGGCAAGACCCATTTCGCCCCAGTGGTCTGTGGAGTATGCTCAAGTGCCAGTCCTGGTGACTCCAAATTCTCGGATTCGACTTGTCATAGTTCGCCCCCATGTTCAATCCCCCTGGTGACGAGCCAGAACCATGAGATAAGGTGTGGGGCCACCGGCCTAGACGGCGGCAGCAGAGCGTCACAGCTCCCCACCGTACGCCTGAGGGGCGTGGGCACCGAAAAATGTGCTTCTTAGTCCTCCCCCACCCTTCCCACCCCACCATTTACTGGACACATGCTGCTCCTTTAAGAGGGATCCTCAACCCCTCCAATGATTTCGGCTCAAAACAGACTGGCCTTGGGAGAAGGAAACGTCGACCAAGCTTTTGAATGACTTGCCCTTTTAGGGAGGCTGAGTTCAGCCGTGCCCCAAATCTGCGGTTGTTTCCTTCTGCCAAGGTGGCGATGAAGGTTTATGCAAGCCTCATTGAAGAACCAACAATACACCCCGACTAAAAGGTAGTCGGTCTTAGTCTTGATCGTGACAGAAATGCCCATTCGGCATATCGTTGGCACGTGATATGCCAATGTGAAGTTCAGCCTTCAAGGGAGGCCTGCCACCAAGGTATGCGCACGGTGCAGATTCGTTGCGTTCATCTCTAAAGAGACCCTTACCAAGTTAAGCGCCCGCGGCAAAGTAAGTATAGGGAGTGCCAAGTCAAACGCAGGTCACAAAGTGTGAACGATCGCTCAAGAGATCCGGACACCTTGGCACAAAGTGTCCACATTGATCGCTCGTGGGGCCGCTGCATTTGGGTGCGTGGTTGTTGAACTTGCCCTGTTTTGGGGTGGTTGTAAAGGGAAACCAGCCCGCAACTCCTTGCACGTCCAAAATGTCAGTACACAGAAAATAGCCTTTTCTGAATCTGTTCCATATACAATCTACCCTGAAATAGAACATCTTCTTGGAGACCGCAGTTGAAGTGTTGACTAGCGTTGACTTCGCATTTCCCCCTTCCAGCAGGGAAATTCACTTCAGGGCATTGCCAAGCCCAGTCCAACTCAGCATCGGATGTCAGTAAGAGCGCCAAAAAAATGCGCGCCAATCCACCAGCGTGAGACGTGTTCAAATGAAGCCGCTGTTAGCGGGTCTGCCTTGGCGTCCGGAAAGCCTAAATCACTAGAGTGGGGGATTTAAGGTGCTGCAAAGCCATACTTAGTGATAACTATGGGAGAAGAAAAGATACCTAGATAGCCAAGTTGCTGCTTTGTTCAGTCACTGTTTTTTTTTGTGTTTTTAGTTTTTTTTTTTTGCTTTTTTAGAGTTGTTTTTCCTTTCCGGTGTAAAGTGCATGGGGGAAAAAACAAAAAAAAAGCAACCGGCGATCCAGGTCGTTTTTGTTTTTTTAAATACAAACCAAGTGTCCAAGGTCACATGGACCTTGGACATCTCAGGCTTCCTCTTGCTTCGGTTTTGTTGACTTGACGGGGCCAAGGGAACCCAAGTGCCCATAGGTGTCCCTGAGAGGTTGGAAATAGATAAACATATCCCTGGTAGAGAAAAAAAAACGCCAGGTCAACCGAGAAAGGAATCGCCCAAGCTATTTTTCAAGAGCAAAACCACCAAAAAGTTGACACCTATGCAAGTGCCGCGTTGGAGAGAGACTTCCTTCTGCTCCCCTGAAGACCTTAACTCAACGAGGTACCTGGATCGCCAGTGGTCAGCGTTTTGGCGAAGAAAAAAAACACACCTCATTTCTGGAGCCTCATTTCCCGCCTTCAGATGTTGGAGGATTGCAACCAACCAAAAAATTGCGGTTTTCCAACTCTTCCTGGATCGCCAGTTTCTGTTTTTTTGTAACCGATCGCAACAGCGGCTGAAAAAAGGCGATCGCAACTGGGCTATCCAGGTAAGCTGTAAACATCTGGGTGACGAGTGTGTCCTCTTTTTGGGGGACCCGTCTGAAAAGTCGTTGGCGAACATAAATCCTCACCTAAATAATGTACACCCATCAAAAGATCATTTATACAGGTATCCCCCGAATCAGTGTTGGGCGAAGCCCATTTGGCTTTGCGTCAAAAAGGTTCGTGCCGAAATATATAGGTGGGCACCAAAAATGGGTGGGGGTGACAACATATGTGGGCACCAAAAATGGGGTGGGCTGATGTTTTCTCCCGGCTTCCTTTAAACCGCTAAACCAAGCTGAAAGGATAAACTTTAAAACCCACACACGCAAACACAAACACATTCCCTACGTCCCTTCCAAATCAACCACTGGCAAAACAGGACAGTTTGAGCAAACCTATCCCCTTCGGCAATACTGCCCCCCCCCCCCAAAAAAAAAGAACGGTAGTAGAACCCTAGCGAACTGGCCTATTGGAATCTGCTTGTGGCTCTGATCACTGTTTTGTTCTCCTGGAATCCCAGGGTGGTCTACCAGCCATGCTTCAAGAATCAAGGCGGATATGTCCGGACGCCTGGATCCCTATCCGGCCGCAAGGTACGCGGGTGTTACTTCCAAGGGGGCAAACTCCTGTCAACGGGACCCGAAATGGCGGCAGTTCTCGACCAGACTGAGACACCCCCTGCTCAAGCTCAGCGCCCCACTCCTTCCGCTTCAACTGCCATCCACACCGGAAAAAGCCCGACAAAGGCCATCCGAAGGCGAAGAACCAAGTCGTTGAAAAGTGGAAAGCTCCACCATGCTCCACAGGTGGCCTTTTGGAAAAAGAGATGGCCCCGGTACATGGAATAAACCCCATCTAAACCAGGAATCGCCCTCTATTTTTAAGCAAACCAACCAAAAAGGACACCTATGTACACCATGCCACGCCGAAAACGGCCCAGCAACTTCTTGTATTCGAGTCCACCTCCACCCCTCGGCTCGCCGAGCGCATCCGGCGCGGCCTCTGCTGCAGCGCGTGGCGGATGCCGCGGCAGCCCAGCAGCAGCAGCGCCGCTTCGGCTTCCACAGCGCCTGTCGGCCGAGACTCCAGGCGCCGGGGGAGGCTGGCCCAAGAACTCCCAACTTGGACGCCAATCCAAATTGGGAAACAGGGATCTATTACATTATACACCTGAACATTGCCTTGTAAATGGTGGTGTTCTTTGTTTTGGTGGAAAAAAAACATGTTTCAAATGGGCAAATTGTATCTTTTAAGGAGCCCTGGTAAACCATGGTGGTTAAGAATTGTTCACCAACCATGGTTTTTGGACTCCAGTTTTGCGAGGTCAGAATAAGAGCACCCATTTTTTTCTGTCTATCAACCCTCCCCCAAAAAAGTTGGTAAAAGGGCACTACTGGGGGACCTAGTCAACTTGCGATCGGTGCGAGAGCAAGGGAAGGCGGGAAGGAACCCAGGCTTTGGTCCCCTTAAAGGAAACCACAAGAACAGGGTTTAACCAGGATTCAAGGAAACCACCAGTTGGAGTGTTTATAAGGATCATTCCAACTCTTTCCCTGAGGTGCGATAGATAGGGAATGTGGAGGGTTTTTCATGAACACAGGCTTTGGTGCCTGAGGAAGGAAGCCACCCGTTGGACGGGTTTAGGGTCATTCTCTCATTGAGCACCGGCAAGTGAAAGAGAGCCCAAGGCGCCTTCCCGAAAGGAAAGTCGCCTTCCCTGTGAGCTCCCGTGTTGGACGTGGATCGATCCATTTACCTCGTTTCGTACGTTAGGTGTTGCTTGCCACCCGAACTATGAAAGCCAAGAGGAACATGGCGAAGGGTTACCTACTATGGCGTTTCTCGCCTTGGATGCACTGGCCTGGTAGATGGAGAGGCCATGCAAACCAGTGTCATCTAGTTCTAACTAAGCTGGGCTCAAGAGGATGGCTTCAAACGGATAGAAGGCAAGATGAATTCGAAGATCCCACCAAGGGACTTTCCGAAACGAGGTATGGAGGTTGACACCTTCTTTATAACATAGCGGAGTCGCTCCACACAAGCTCAACTGCACAAATGCGAGTGGCTGGAGGGACTTTCGCTCATTTGCAGTCGACGATCCCTGCAAAGCAATGGTCATGCATGTGTCATGCTCTTCGATGTAGTCCCAAAAAAACCTGTTCTAGTCTATGGCAAGGGAACACCAATCGGTTCGCTGCAAGCCAAACATGGTTGTTCCTCTTGGTTTCCAATTTGTTTACGCTGTGAAAAAGGGGCACCCTCAGAAAAAGACACCCATTCAAGTATTTTTCAACGAAAAATACAAGCATAATGTACAACAAGGACCGCTGAAAATGCGGAACCCAAAATCAGGCACTGGCAAATTGAAACAAAGACTACCCCCTTACCAAATACCCGCTTTGTTCGGGTATCATGTCAGCCCCTGACCAAAAAAGGAGGTGTTTACCCTGAAAAACCAGGTTATCCAAACAAATACCATGAACAAAGCGGGTATTTGGAGTGGGGTGTTTGGTTTCTTGCCTGCATAGCCCGTCTGTCAATGTTTGGGCCACTGGCTTCCATTCGAGTCAGCGAATTTGACTGCATCCCAATCTGAAGGACACGCGCTCAAAGAAATGACTGATCCAGAAATAAGTTTTCCATGGGCACACACGTCATCAACACGTGGGTGTGTCTTAAAAAAGGGACCCCCAAATTGGCAGTTTTCCTTTTGGTTTACTTTTGGAAACATCCCGGACATCTCACATCTGCTCTTTTGCTCAGGTTTGCGTCATTTGCTGTTGCACTGGCATGCAAACAACTGAACGCACGTCCCCAAGGAAAGGCAAAGCCTTGGGACCCAATCTGGATGACGACAATCCTTAAGCAAACAATGATGGTTTCGTGAACCCAACCATTGTTGCAGTAGTGGATTGAACCTGGCACATTCAGTGCCCATGCATCCATAGACCAGCGATGTGCACCAAACCTTTGAGCAGCCAAACCTGCTCACTTTCTTTTGGTTCTACTAAGATGGCTACCCTTCCTTCCTCTCCTAGATTTTTCAGTAGAGAGGGTAGAATAAGGGTACCAACTTTTTCTGCAGTTTATTTCAGCAGGGGCACCCTCCTCCAAAAAAGGGGTAAAAGGGCACTAGTGGGGGACCTAGATGTCCTTTTGAAGGGACCGGGTCCCGTGTTGGGTGCCATCGCAGCGTGGGAGGGAGGGTAAGTTTTGCCTAGGCGCATCTCAAAACCCCAAAAAACCAGCAACAGTGACCGAAAAAAGCAACTTGGCTATCTAGGGAACAAAAAAAAAAGAAAAAAAAGAAACCAAAAAAAGAAACCAGCAACAGTGACCGAAAAAAAGCAACTTGGCTATCTAGGGAACAAAAAACAAAGAGAAAAAAGAAACCAGCAACAGTGACAGAAAAAAGCAACTTGGCTATCTAGGGAACAAAAAACAAAGAAGAACAAGAAACCAGCAACAGTGACCGAAAAAAAACAACTTGGCTATCTAGGGAACAAAAAACAAAGAAAAAAGAAACCAGCAACAGTGACCGAAAAAAGCAACTTGGCTATCTAGGGAACAAAAAACAAAGAAAAAAACGAAACCAGCAACAGTGACCGAAAAAAGCAACTTGGCTATCTAGGGAACAGAAAACAAAGAAAAAAAACCAGCAACAGTGACCGAAAAAAGCAACTTGGCTATCTAGGGAACAAAAAACAAAGAAAAAAGAAACCAGCAACAGTGACCGAAAAAAGCAACTTGGCTATCTAGGGAACAAAAAACAAAGAAAAAAAAGAAACCAGAAACAGTGACCGAAAAAAGCAACTTGGCTATCTAGGGAACAAAAAACAAAAAAACAAAAAGAAACCAGCAACAGTGACCGAAAAAAGCGCAACTTGGCTATCTAGGGAACAAAAAAACAAAGAAAAAAAGAAACCAGCAACAGTGACCGAAAAAAGCAACTTGGCTATCTAGGGAACAAAAAACAAAGAAAAACAAGAAACCAGCAACAGTGACCGAACAAAGCAACTTGGCTATCTAGGGAATAAAAAACAAAGAAAAAAAAGAAACCAGCAACAGTGACCAAAAAAAGCAACTTGGCTATCTAGGGAACAGAAACCAAAGAATAAAAGAAACCAGCAACAGTGACCGAAAAAAGCAACTTGGCTATCTAGGGAACAAAAAACAAAGAAAAAAAGAAACCAGAAACAGTGACCGAAAAAAGCAACTTGGCTATCTAGGGAACAAAACACAAAAAAACAAAAAGAAACCAGCAACAGTGACCGAAAAAAGCGCAACTTGGCTATCTAGGGAACAAAAAAACAAAGAAAAAAAGAAACCAGCAACAGTGACCGAAAAAAGCAACTTGGCTATCTAGGGAACAAAAAACAAAGAAAAACAACAAACCAGCAACAGTGACCGAAAAAAGCAACTTGGCTATCTAGGGAACAAAAAACAAAGAAAAAAAAGAAACCAGCAACAGTGACCGAAAAAAGCAACTTGGCTATCTAGAGGGGGGGGGGAAAAACAAAACAGAAAAGAAACCAGCAACAATAACTGAAAAAAGCAACTTGGCTATCTAGGGAACAAAAAAGAAACCAAAAAAAGAAACCAGCAACAGTGACCGAAAAAAAGCAACTTGGCTATCTAGGGAACAAAAAACAAAGAAAAAAAATAAACCAGCAACAGTGACCGAAAAAAGCAACTTGGCTATCTAGGGAACAAAAAACAAAAAGAAACCAGCAACAGTGACCGAAAAAAAAAAGCAACTTGGCTATCTAGGGCACAAAAACAAAGAAAAAAAGAAACCAGCAACAGTGACCGAAAAAAGAGCAACTTGGCTATCTAGGGAACAAAAACAAAGAAAAAAAAGAAACCAGCAACAGTGACCGAAAAAAGCAACTTGGCTATCTAGGGAACAAAAAACAAAGAAAAAAAGAAACCAGCAACAGTGACCGAAAAAAGCAACTTGGCTATCTAGGGAACAAAAAACAAAGAAAAAAAAGAAACCAGCAACAGTGACCGAAAAAAAGCAACTTGGCTATCTAGGGAACAAAAAACAAAGAAAAAAAATAAACCAGCAACAGTGACCGAAAAAAGCAACTTGGCTATCTAGGGAACAAAAAACAAAGAAAAAAAGAAACCAGCAACAGTGACCGAAAAAAGCAACTTGGCTATCTAGGGAACAAAAAACAAAGAAAAAAAAGAAACCAGCAACAGTGACCGAAAAAAAGCAACTTGGCTATCTAGGGAACAAAAAACAAAGAAAAAAAATAAACCAGCAACAGTGACCGAAAAAAGCAACTTGGCTATCTAGGGAACAAAAAACAAAGAAAAAAAGAAACCAGCAACAGTGACCGAAAAAAGCAACTTGGCTATCTAGGGGGGGGGGGGGAAAACAAAACAGAAAAGAAGCCAGCAACAGTGGCTGAAAAACGCAACTTGGCTATCTAGGGAACAAAAACAACGGGAAAAAAAAAACGCAACGCCCGCGCCAACCCCGTCGCAGATTTCTCCAGGCCTAGGCTCCGGAGCCTCGCCTCCCAAGTGGCGATCCTCAGCGTCGCTTCGACCGGGGGGCGGGAGTCGGTTGGAAGGGGACGGAGCCAAGACACGGCTGGATGGGCATGGATCGGAGGTGAGGGCGTGTTTTTTGTTTGTTTAAATTGTTTGTTTTTTTTCCCCTTCTTTGTGTTCCCTCCCCGGAAAATTGAAGAAGGAAAAAACACATGAGAAAATGGAGGGCATGGATTGGAGCTGTGAGGTTGACTGGAGTGGAGGTGAGGCATGGATTTGAACATTCAACAAACAACATTAGGCATGATAGACATGGAGGCCAAGCGCAGAAACACGCAGATTGCGATTCATGGATCAACCAAAGTGACCACTGAAAGCATGGCCCATGGAAGTGGCTTCGCGCCACCAATAATCCCCAAGCCTGAAAGGTCATGAGGGCCAAATCTTGGTATCTTTTTAACCAAACAACACCAGAGGAAATGTATGAACCCCCTTCCCCTTGGATGTGGACCCGGACGCCTTCATTGAAACCATCCACATGTGGTCCTTCTGCTTCAAATATGGAAAGCGGGGATCCCTGCGACTCCTCCCTGCGACTCCCTGACGAAACCCTGCTCTCAACCACCCCCCCCTTGTACCTACCTGACCCTCAAAATCGGTCATTGCAACCCAAAATCATGGATGAAATCCAACTGTTCTGCAGGTGGTTTGAGGGCTTAGGTACCCCCCCCAAGCACAATTCCACCCTAAGCTCCTGATTGCTTTTGGGACCTCAAAATGGGTTGTTTTTGAGGGTCCTTGAGGGGCCAGGTTCTTCATTGGAGCCCAGGGGTGTGCATTGTAGGGGTCATCGCGGGTCCGAGGGGCTCCTCCTCGTCTTCCACCAGCAACGCCGCCAGCTCCTCGTTGTCCGGCTCCGCCGGGCGCTGGAAGTGGCCCTGCAGCTGACACAGCTGCCTCGGCTCGAAACATCGAAACTCGGCGAGACGGGCGTGCCCCGTTTTTTGGAGACCCAAGGCTTGACCCGTTTTTTGTCCAATTCGATCGATTTTGGGTTCTTTTTGAAGATGGGTTGGTTTTTGAATGCCCGTGATGGGGTTAGAGAGGGCACTTCTTCTTCGTCAAGGGTCCGATGCGACTGCTTTGTGCCCTAAGATTCCTCAGGGGCCCTAACGTTGCAACGGGCACCTGGGTTCTTAAAAAGAGTTGTGTTTACGGGCCCGGAAAAATTGGGTCTCTTCGGGTTCTCCATTGGATGGCCACATTTCTGGACCCCTCGGCCGACCCCGAAGCGCTTGACACCCAGCCGGGCGGTGGTTGGAGAGCAAACCTGGCAGTTGAATCGGGCCCTTAAACACATCAAGTTGGAGCCTCTGAGAGGACAATCTTCTTGTTCAAGTTGCTCAAAGGAAACCAAAAAGGAAAAACCATGCAGCCATTTTGAGGCTGGGGGGTGGTGTTCCCCCATTTTCCTTACACCAAATCACTTCGTCCAATTCCCCCCGCCTTTTCCGCCCCAAAAAAAAACTCCGAAGACGACATCGCCCAAGGCGCAGGCTCCGCGCCAGGGGCCGCACCAGGGGCCGCGACAACACCAGGCCTTCGCTGACTTCGCCGTCCGCCGCGTCGGTTGCGTCGGCGTCGGTTTCGTCGTGGGCCAGGAGGCCGTCGGCGAAGCCTCCCCGGAGGCACGGAAGGTTTCACAGGGCTTGGTGCGAATCCTTGACGAAAACAGGAGACATTCTACACCCAATACGATTTGTTTTGATGGTATGATAGGGGGTAAGATGGGAACATCCTTGACTCAAGAAGGGATCGAACCGCTAGACAAATCAGGCATTTGAGAAAAGGGGTGGAACTTATGACGGATGGGTCGGTGGGCTTTTGAGGTATGCTTCAGCTGACCGCTGCTTTCTTCTCCGGGGCCGTTTCGCGCAGCAGATGGTGAATGTAGCTTGACCCTTGGACTCGCCTGAGGCTGGAAAGTGCTTCAATAAGCAGCACAGTCCAAGGGCGTGCATCAAAGTGAGGAACTCAGGGCTTCAAGGGCAGCCTGTTTGGTCGAAGCGGGGGGGAGGGGCAAAAAAACTTATGGCTTTGCTTCGCATGTAGTCTACCCCGCGCTATTAAACACATTTGAAGGAGACTCTACCTGAAGACTCTAATATATGTCTTGGTAGATGGGTGCGTCCTTTTTTTTGAGGGCACCTTGCCGGGAAACCAACAGAAAAGCCACCTCTCTTTTTCTTTGCGGGGTGGGGGCATACTGTGGATGAACGAAATCCGTTTCGCACCACCCAAGAAACCCTGGAATGATTCGACTCCCGTGCAAATACCTCGACAAACAACGGTTTCAACCATGGTTTCATCTCGTGGTGCGAGGTGGATTTCGCCACCATCCACTGTGATGTTGACCCCATATTAAGCAACCAACCAGTTTATTGACAGGGGGTGTCCATTTCTGGGTTTAGTGGTTGGAATCGAACAGCTTTTGGAGGGGCCACATTCCCACCCCCCTACTAACTTGCTGTTGACCCGTATAAACCAGCAATTGGTGGTTCCTTCAAGTGGATCCCAAAACGGTTCATTCCATTTCTCATTCCCTACCGATTTTGCACCGATCGCAAGTTTATCCACTGGCCACTGGTTGGTTGAACATCTGGGGTCAACATGGGTATGGGTGAAAATTAAACCACCAGGAATTGGACCGCAAATTGTCCATTCCATTTACCCATCGGGCAAGTTCCATTTTGGGGTTACCTAGATAGCCAGGTTGCTGCCTTTTTCAGTCATTGTTGGGTAAACTGCGTGGAAAAAAGCGATCGCACCTGGCGATCCAGGTACCAACCATTCTTGACCACCACAGCCACCAAAACCGCTCTCTTTTGGGCTGTGCAGCAAAACCGCTACAGGCCACGGGACGACTTCATCCCCCCCCGACCCGCCCGGAGCCGCGGCTTCCGCGGCCGAAGCGAAGCGCCTGCGCCCAGGAGCTCCCGCACCTCCCGGCAAGCCAGCGCCCCTCGCAGCGCTGGCTCCCACGCGGCGGCCGCGGAAGCCGCGGAAGCCGCGGCTGCCGCCATGGCCCGGCGCATGGAAAGAGGGAAAACTGCGCCCAAAAAACGTACGGGCCTTGCAAAAAACGCACGACTCAGTGTGTTTCTTCCTTTCGCCGAGAAATGAACAGACACCCCCAAAAAGAAAGGCGAAAAAACAGAGACTTGATCCAAGAACGTCAGCCTGGTATTGGATGTTCCTCGTCTTTTTGGCTTTTACAGGCAGGTTTTGTGTACCTGAACCAGATACATGGATCCACTGGATAGCCAAGGTTGTAACTGGTTGGTAGCTGGGGTTGACTTACAAAACCATGGCTATAACCTGCTGACTAGGTTGAATTTCCAAGGGGTTGAGTGGGAAAAACGACTCACGGAAAGGTTTGAAGTCCAAAGATCCACATATCCGCCATGGGTAGGTCAAGGGTGGTTGTCTGGCGGCTACACAAGGGGAAGTCCGTTGAATGCGGTTGGGGTGGGGTGAGGTGGGTGGCAGGATATGTCAAATGAGTGGCTAGTAACCATGGTTATGACATGGTGGGGCGCATGTTCGAGGTCCTTTTGAACTTTTTCGCGGGGGTGCACTGCGCCTCTTATAGCTTAGTTTTGAACATAAGAATCGAGCAGGCGGTGGCTCTTGTTGCTTGTTGAAAAGAGGTCCCCCAATTTTCAGAACTGGTGGTTGGTTCCCTTTCCGGCTCCGTTCATTTGCGGCTCAAAATAGGAATCATATTGCCCATGGGTTGCCCTAAATGGACAAGTAGACCAAACCTGCGGTCTAGCTCAGGCACCACTTTGTCCACAGCTTTCAGGCAAGGGAGCCGACGTGAAGCAGCATAACCGCTCGGGGCAGCGACCCGTGAGAAGGGAAAGTACGTAGCCCGAAAAGGGAACTTGCGGAGCCTGAAAAAGGGGACCCCTGCTTCAAGCAGACCTAGTCGCGCTTTTGCCACAAGGCAAACCCCAGGTTCCTTACATCTGTTTCCGATTTTTTCTTTCGCTTCGCCTGGTTGCCTATTTTGGTAGCTGGAAGCACTGGGCAGGTGAACATCTGTGGATAAACGTGGCTGAGATTTGTGGCGCGCGTACCCCCCGAACCTCCCCAAGATGGTGCAAGACTTCCCGTTCATGCACATGAATATCAACCTGCGATCCAAGGAACCCCACAAAAAGCCTCCTACCCAGAGGCCAGCAGGTTTGCTTGTAAAGGAATCCTGCTCCACCAGAGGTGTTCAGGATAAAGGCTGAGATCAGACTCTGGTGTCAGCTGGGCTTGGCCCTCGAATTTCACCTCACCAGCGGTGCTTTGGTTTGATGTGCTTTGCATCTCAGGGGGTGGGTTCATAAAGAGGGGTTCAACTCCCCCACACCAATCCAAACCAATTGAGGGGTACCTGAGATTCTGCGTCAATACTTGCCCACGGATTCATGCAACCCACTGACGGGGGGTGTCCATGTCTGGGTTTAGTGGGCGGAATCATCACATTTGGAGGGGCCTCCACCCCCATAATATACTGCCTAGATAGCCACGTTGCGATCGCCTTTTTTAGTCAATGTAGCACTGGTTTTTGGGCTTTTGAGTGCATGTGAAAAAAATAAAATAAGCTCGGGTGATATCCCCAACAGCATGCGGTGCTCTTTTAAGTGCTCGCACCACCCCACAGCCCTCGCAGAACCTCGCGGAACCGTGGTGGAACCCTCGTGGAACCTTACCTCAGGGCCACCCCAAACCACCCCGGAGCCTATCTGGGCTGAGACCCCAAAGCTTGCAGCTGTTGGGGGAAAAAACAAACACGACAAAAAAGCAACTGGCGATCCGGTGGCTTGTTGTTTCATATTGTGGATGGACGAAATCCATTTCGCACCACTTTGAGACCATGGAAAACCAATGCTTGTTGGTATTTACGTTGGGGAATCGAATCATTCCAGGGAAACTTTTGGGTGGTGCGTTGCACGGATTTCGCAACCATCCACAGGATTTCTAATGGAAACCCTGGGAATTCCCATTGGCAAATTCCCTACTTTCTAGAGGCTTGGTTTCTCAGGTGCGTTGCATGGATTTCGCAACCACCTGCGGTGCTGACGAATTCACCTGGAGCCCAAGCCTGGGCTCGGCGAAGCTTGGGGCCCTGAGGCTGCAGCAGGGGCGACGCGTTGGGCGACTTCGACGCCACCTCAGCGAGGGGGGTGGCTGCGGCAGAAAGGCCCCGGGGTCGAGGGAAAATCACGGTCCAAAAGGGCACCCGAAAATGAGATACCTGGAGTCTCCAAGCTTCATTTTGGGTCATGACCCCTAGAAAAAGCTGAATTTTGGGTCATGACCCCATTTTAAAGGGTCATGGAGACTCCAGGTACCCTTTCCGAACACCCGGACACCGGGCCTGAATGACTGGAGTGGGCTTGCAGACCGGATGAGAAGCATACCAATTCGCGTGCCCAGGTCCGAAAATGAGCGCCAAACTTGCAGGGTCCACATCATAGGTGTCCTTTTAGGGGAAATAGATGGCCCCTGGTAGATGAGAAAAAACCACCAGGTAAACCAGGGCCATCTATTTTTCGAGCAAAACCACCACAAAGTCGACAGCTACTGGTCCAGATTAATACCAACCCTTTGGTCTCCCAAAAGGTTCACTGGATTTCCCCTGTTTACTCAGCGTTTCTCCGGGGGGTTCGATTGGCGGAGGTTGGGGGCGCTAATATTGATCCCTCTTCTGAAAGCACCAACGGGCTACCTGGTGTACTGCTGGGTTCCGGCAACACGTTCCGAGGTCCAAAACAAGTTGGACACGCAGGGACCCTGTTTAGATGGTCCGGGAGTTAGGCTCTAATTTAGGGCTACTCACAACTTAGCCCCCCCGTACGCTTAGTTGAAACCCCAGAGCCCCCACGTTTGCACCAGGCTTGCTCACCTCTTCAGATTGTAGGAAGAAGTTCAACTCACACATAACACCCAGATTCTCATGGAACCCAAACGGGCTCCGTCGTACGGATGGATTGATCCTTTTGGGGGAAGCTCATGATTGATTTCTGGCATGGGAGTGATTCTCTCACCCTGCTCCGTTCAAAATGACCGGCGCATGGTGACTCCGCTGTGAGCCAAAATGGGAGCGCCCACACCTGGTGGACTTGGCCACATCTCCTATGGTCGTCAAGGGCTCAAATATATATATATATATATATACATATATATATAGATCATATACATATATATATATATATAATCCGGGCCCAAAAAAGCGACTCAAAAGAAGAGGGCTCCCTTTTTGGGAGGCCCAATCCTCTCCGTGGGCCCCATGGAAACCTCTGGCATGGGCACACCTGCCACTCAGCATGCCTTCGGGTCCGGTCGACGATCAGACGAGGGCAACGGGGCCCCCCGCCACCAGCGGAGACTTCCGCAGGTCGTGGCCATCGCTGCGGCTGCGCCTGGCGATCCATCGACTGGGCCCCACTCCACTGGTAGCCACTGGGCGCCGATTGGCGGGGGTCAAAACCACCTTGGAGTTCCTCCAGATTTGAGAGCTTCGAATAAGTTGCTACCCGGCTTTTTTTTTCAGTAGTCGATTTTAGTACTTAGTAGGGGAACCCTCCCAACCAAAAAAAAACACTGGTAAATGGGCACCAATTGCTGGGGGGGCCTAGGCTTTGGAGAGGGTCCACTGTTCAAAAAAAATCACGGCCATATGCAGAGTTCAAACCATCTTCCCCGGTGACCGAGCTCTACCTGGACCCTCACACCAAACCCGTAAAAGAAAAACAAAAACAAAAGGGGGAAAAGGTCACAGAATCCCATAGCTTTGGATGGCGAGCACCCATGTTTAACTTGGAATGTTGAGGTTGAAACCCCAACTTTGGGTTGCCCTAGGTGGAAATGTGGAGGAAACAAAAACTGCAGTTGGTCTAAACTACTAAGCTGGGGCCCCCCAGCCATCCGGTTTCGGCTTTAGATCATAGGTGGTTTAGCGGTACACAGAAACTCAGATTTGGGTTTGGGTCAAAATTACAATAATCCGCCAGGGGACCGCAGGTTTTAGCCCTTGGTGCCATTTACCAGGGTTCCGTTTTGGGCCCCCATTCTTGACCCACAGCCATTTCCAGCTCAAGGACACGACTTGAATGGGAGGGTCGAATCCAAGCCTCGTGCGGCACGTTACCCCCCCCCCCATTAATCCTTGGATTGATAGGGAGGTGTGTCCCAAACCGCGTGCGATGGAGGGGCAACCACTTCACTCTGAATCAACCAGGACCATTTGCTCCGTGGCCCATGTGATTTCTCCAAGGACCCAACAAAACCAAACCAGGCCCCACAAAATCCATGTAGCTTTAAGTTAAACACCTTGGCCCTGAATGACCTCCCAAGACCATGCATCCAAACAAAAAACAACCGCACCAAAATCCAAAGACCGTTGGCCAACAAACCCCAGGTTGAGGGGGTCTCCAACAGTATTTATACCCACAAAGGGCCACAGAGGTCGGGCCACACCTTGGGAGGAGCCAAAACGGAGCCAACAAACAACTGGCTTGCAACAAACCACACCGAAACGTTTTGGACAGCTGAGTGAATTGATCCGTAGCATTTCACAGGAAGTCGCACAGATGATATCCCCAGCATGCGGTGGACCTCAGGGCCACCCCCAACCACCGGAGCCTATCTGGGCTGAGACCAAAAAGCTTTCAGCGGTTGGGGGGAAAAATAAACGTGTGTCTACAGTTTGCGGGAAAGCAACATCTGTGTTCCACCAAAAAGGGCGGGTTCAATGTCTCAACCCAAAAGGGTGGTTCTCAAAATAAGTTGGATCCTTCTTGGGTTTTCTTTGATTACCGTTGAAACCAAACAGAAGGACCCTCCTTCCAAGCCATTTTCCTGGAAGGCTGGTCTCTTTTAGGGAGCCCCCCTTTTCGACTGTCTTTCAGGAGCACCCAAAGGAAGCCCACCATTTTGGAGGGAGTCCAACCTAGACAAAGACAGACCCCTACGAGTGAGTAACCAAATCAACGAACTCACACGGATTGACTGACTGAAGGTGCCAATGGACAATTGCAGCAAGGCACCCATCCGCGTCTACTTCTCCAGTCTTGGACA